AAATTATGGTGAATGAGTACATACATGAATACATTTAGCTTCATCTTGTTTGAAAACTTTAAGTGAAAAAAGAAAGAAGAAAAGAAAAAAGGATGAAAATATTGGATATTGTTTGGTTTTAGCTGTTATAGAACCTTAGTATTGCTTTAGTGGAAAGATTTGAATGAGCAAAAGTTGTTTCACTTGTTTGAGAACTCAAAAATGCAAAAAGCACACACAGTGTCGTCTAATCTGAATAAAAACAATGCAAATGATCAACGACTGCTGCAGAAGCAGTAAAGCACCTGTGCCGCTCAGCCTGCTGCCTCCTCAGCTCTCGGACCGTTCCCTCCATCTCCTTCTCCTTCTCCGTCAGCGAGTCTCTGAGCGTCTGAGCCGTCATCTCCAGCTCTGTCATCCTCACCTGCTCTGTCAGACTGGACCTGTTGAACGGGACAGATGTGATGAGGAGACGGAGGGACGTTACAAACTGCGCCTGATGAGAGGTGTGTTGATGTGTTTTCCACGTACATTCGCTCCACCTCGGCCCTGGTGTCCTCCAACACCACGCCGTATCGCGGTGGAGCAGTCTGAGTTGCCCTCCTGACTCCGGCCTCCCCCTCACGATTTTTACCTGAAAACAGGAAAAAAAAGTTGATTAAAAACTCAAATTCGAAGATTTAAATAAAAGCTTTCACCCGTCTTTCTCACTTTTGCTGTATTTGTAAGGCGTGCGAGCCCGCAGGTCCACGATGTGCTGCTTGGCTAAGCCCAGTTTGTTCTGCAGCACTTCCTTCTGACTCTCCAGCATGGCCACCCGGGCCTCCAGCTCCTGCACCGTCTCCTCCATGTCCCTCTCCTTGATGGCACCGGACCCGGGACGGGTCTGACGGAGACGCATGAGCCGTGTGGACACCCTGTGATTGAACACATCACAGTGGGCATCAGAGAAACTAAGCATTGTGGCTCTCACACACCAGGAAATCCCAGGGAAATACTTTAAAATGTGTGATTTTTCAACCAGTTTGTTTAAAAAGAGCTTTAATCTTCATTGGAGCTGTGGTACTAGATCTTATTCGTGTTTTGCATCAACATTTACCTGTGTAGGACCTCTCCAAAATATGGTTTTGAAAATAATGCACCCGTCTTTGTGCAAAAGTTTGGTAGCCCCACAGCGTCAGCGCTGAGTTTACCTGCGGAGCCGCTGTTCCTGTGTTCTCGTGTGCTGCCTGAGCACACTGTTCTCCTCCTGGAGGCGGAGGCACAGGTCCTCCAGGTGCTCCCTGGGAAACCGAAACAGCCGCTGAGGGTCTGCTGAGGACAGAAAAGCACCAATAAAAACTGAGCAGCTTGTAAAATCTTTCTTAAATGACAAAATTGAAAAAAAAAAATGTCAGGAAGTGTCCTGATGCATCTCAGTAATCCAGGTAAAAAATCAAAAAGAAAAAAATTGTATAGGTCTTCTGGACGGGTTCTTCTCTAATGAAACGTTTCGTCTACGGTTTCATTAGAGAAG